AGATCGAGACCATCCTGGCCAACATGGTGAAACCCCGTCTCTACTAAAAATACAAAAATTAGCTGGGCGTGGTGGCGCATGCCTGTAGTCCCAGCTACTCGGGGGGCTGAGGCAGGAGAATCACTTGAACCTGGGATGCGGAGGCTGCAGTGAGCCAAGATCATGCCACTGCACTCCAGCCTGGGTGACAGAGTGAGTCTCTGTCTCAAAAAATACATATACACTTTCATTCTTTCATAAATGTTTAGTAAGCTGGGCAGCATGGCACACACATATAGTCCCAGCTACTCAGGAGCCTGAGACAGGAGGATCGATTGAGTCCAGGAATTCTGGGCTATAGTGCACTATGATGATCGGGTGTCCACACTAAGTTTGGTAACAATATGGTGTCCCCTGGGAGCATGGGACCACCAGGTTGCCTAAGGAGGGGCAAACCAGCCCAGATCAGAAGCAGAAAAGGTCAAAACTCTCGTGGTGATCATTAATGGGATTAAGCCTGTGAATAGCTATTGCACTCCAACCTGGGCAACACAGCTGAGACCCTACCTCTAAAAATTAAAATGTTTATTAAGCACTTACTCTGAGCCAGCACTATGCTAGATGCTAGGAATACTAAATGAATAAAATAGATCCAAACCTCAACAAGTTAATAGTCAGCTTGAGAAACAGATATAAACAAACAATTATAACAGTGTGTCAGTATTATAACAGTGTGTCAGTACAAATAATTAGAATACTGTGTCAGTGTGTAAAAAGCTATGAGAGTTGGAGTTAAGATTTCAGAAAGGGCCGGGCGCGGTGGCTCATGCCTGTAATCCCAGCACTTTGGGAGGCCAAGGTGGGAGGATCACCTGAGGTCAGGAGTTCGAGCCCAGCCTGGCCAATATGATGAAACCCCGTCTCTACTAAAAATGCAAAAATTAGCTGAGCATGGTGGCGGGCACCTGAAATCACAGCTACTTGGGAGGCTGAGGTAGGAGAATTGCTTGAACTCAGAGGACAAAGTTTGAAGTGAACTGAGATGGTGCCACTGCACTTCAGTCTGGGTGACAGAGCAAGACTCTGTCTCAAAAAAAAAAAAAAAAAAAAAAAA